GCCCTAGTAAAAAATACATTGGTTTTGATCAAAGTGGGCAAACCCAAGCTAAGCCCAAGCTGCCCGACGCCTGCCACAGTTCAGCCCAAGCGAATTGCTGGCTGGGTTGAGGCTACAAACAGTTGTTTGCCAATAACTCGCGATTGGAAAGAGATAGAACGCTGGGGATGGTCTCATTGTGTTTGTCTTGTTGAGACACATCGACTGATATGCAACATGACCTTTTCCGGTAAGGTAATGACCTTGACCTGAGGTCAAATTTTCAAGTTGACTTTTCGAGGTCAAATTATAGTTCATTCGACGCGTCTCGACGAGGGGAACACGATTCTGGCAATTGAAATGTTGTGGCTTTTTGTAGTCGAAAGTTATTGTCGAAAAACACTTTTCGTAATAACAGCTATTTTTGGAGTTTTTGCCCTCTGGAGGCTAAACCGTTGACCTGAGGTCAATATTGATAATGACCTTTTCAAAAGAAGAGTTCAAAAACTATCGACTGCTATTCCATGCGTTTTTCTAGCTACCATAGTTCATGAGATAGCGGCATGTTTTCTGAAAAATATAATGACAATTGGCAAATTTTGACCTTTGATGACCTCTGGTGACCCCAATATTGCTCTAAGGTGAAAAATGACCGAAATACTTTCAAACGTACGCATTAAGGGCTATCGACTGCTTTTTACCGCGTCTTTCTAGCCCTCTTAGTTTTTGAGTTAGAGGTGGGTGGTAACATATGCCCCCCCCTCACTAGGGCGAAGTTGGCCGAGACCGCCACTGGGGCGCGGGTTAATTGTCTTATAAAATATAATAGCTGTGTTATCATTTACGGTAACTCTAAGTCAATGGCAGTTCACTTGATACTAGTGGTTTCGAAAGCCGTGAAGCTGGACCCGACTGCTGTGGGTGTACTCACGCCTGCCGGTGGTGCCGGTGGTGCTGTCACTGCTGGTGATGGTGACGTCTGTGGTGATCTGAAACACCACAGTGTCCAGTTTTAGGTCCCCTGATATTGACAGCCACACCCGCCGTGTCGCTACCGCTATCCCACACCGGGTCTGACAGTGGTGTGACGTCACTCCCACACCCGCCGTGTCGCTACCGCTATCCCACACCGGGTCTGACAGTGGTGTGACGTCACTCCCCCACCCGAACTGCTGGTCCGACCGAGTAAACAACCAGGTCCGACCGGCCATTCAGTATCGCTCTGCCCGCCACTGTGACTGACCAACAAATAACACGTCATTTACCGCATACCGTTTGTTTCAGAGCCTATACTCACGGGGCGGTCAGTGTCCATGACGCCGCTCAGTGACTGACCAACTAATAACACGTCATTTACCACATACCGTTTGTTTCAGAGCCTATACTCACGGGGGGTCAGTGTCCATGGCGCCGCTCAGTGACTGACCAACTAATAACACGTCATTTACCGCATACCGTATGTTTCAGAGCCTATACTCACGGGGCGGTCAGTGTCCATGGCGCCGCTCAGTGACTGACCAACTAATAACACGTCATTTACCGCATACCGTTTGTTTCAGAGCCTATACTCACGGGGCGGTCAGTGTCCATGGCGCCGCTCAGTGACTGACCAACAAATAACACGTCATTTACCGTATACCGTTTGTTTCAGAGCCTATACTCACGGGGCGGTCAGTGTCCAGGGCGCCGCTCAGTGACTGACCAACAAATAACACGTCATTTACCGCATACCGTTTGTTTCAGAGCCTATACTCACGGGGGGTCAGTGTCCATGGCGCCGCTCAGTGACTGACCAACTAATAACACGTCATTTACCGCATACCGTTTGTTTCAGAGCCTATACTCACGGGGCGGTCAGTGTCCAGGGCGCCGCTCAGTGACTGACCAACAAATAACACGTCATTTACCGTATACCGTTTGTTTCAGAGCCTATACTCACGGGGGGTCAGTGTCCATGGCGCCGCTCAGTGACTGACCAACAAATAACACGTCATTTACCGCATACCGTTTGTTTCAGAGCCTATCCTCACGGCGGTCAGTGTCCATGGCGCCACTCAGTGACTGACCAACAAATAACACGTCATTTACCACATACCGTTTGTTTCAGAGCCTATACTCACGGGGCGGTCAGTGTCCATGTCGCCGCTCAGTGACTGACCAACAAATAACACGTCATTTACCGCATACCGTTTGTTTCAGAGCCTATACTCACGGGGCGGTCAGTGTCCATGTCGCCGCTCAGTGACTGACCAACTAATAACACGTCATTTACCGCATACCGTTTGTTTCAGAGCCTATACTCACGGGGCGGTCAGTGTCCATGGCGCCGCTCAGTGACTGACTAACAAATAACACGTCATTTACCGCATAGGGGAAGTTGAGGCAATGCCGGAGTTGCGGCAAAGCCGAAATTCGAGATATTTCGAAAACCGTAAGACATGGATGCCACCTGTCAGTAATGCTCTGAAGCTTAAGTGACTACCAATTATCGCATGTTTGTTACGAGTCGTCATTCGGAATACTTCGGCTGTGAGGGCGCCAAGAGCGTTTTCAAGGTACCGTAAAGTGGGGCTATTTGAGACAGTGGGGCTATTTGAGACAGTATTTAAAATCGCTATAAAATGAAGACCGTTTGATTTTTATGTGATATTTTTGCTCAGGAAGGTGTGGAATCGAGTAGTAAATCGCCTGAGCAAAAATTAGGCATAAATTTCAAACGGTTTTTATTTTATAACAACTTTAAATACTGTCTCAAATAGCCCCACTGTCTCAAATAGCCCCACCTTACGGTACGCGTTCCTTGTACTACATGCGCCTTTGAAGCTGCATTTCTTACTCATTATGCTACCGTTTGTCTGGCCAATTCGGTCAAGTAATCTTCAGCATGTCTTTGCATAAGTGTGCTGCCTATTTGAAATTTATACGGCACGTTGAAAAGTTATGGGCCTGCAAATGAAAGTATGGCTGGCTGGGGTAATGCCGAAAACGTGCAATTACGCACGTTAAAGCACGCTACGTGGACTTTACTGCTGTAGAATAGCAACGCGAATTTTTAGTCACACAAATTACACTTTCAACCGACACAACGGCCTGTTACCTATAAGGAATTATTTACCTGGCATTTTCTTATTATATCACACAACTATAACTTCCAGTGTGCACCAAGCGTCCTCAAGCTCTTAAAACGCGTGTCAGCTTTGATAAATTCTGGATAAAGTTTGAGATAAAGTGGCAAAACATCAATGTCGGCATTCCCCGTAGATCATTTCTCCCATTTTCGGCTTTCCCCGCAGTCCGGGGCAACGCCGAAAAAGTCACTTCTTTGATATTTTTAGTTTGTGCGCTTAACGGTATGCGAATTCATCAAATGCGCCTGGTATGTTTGAAAGGCAAAAGACTGGCCTCTCGAATGACGCCAACAAGAATAGCTTATGTTGTCTACCTTGCGTGCTACGGGCGTCAGAAAAAAGTATTCGGCGTTCCCCCAACTTCCCCTACCGTATGTTTCAGAGCCTATACTCACGGGGCGGTCAGTGTCCATGGCGCCGCTCAGTGACTGACCAACAAATAACACGTCATTTACCGCATACCGTTTGTTTCAGAGCCTATACTCACGGGGCGGTCAGTGTCCATGGCGCCGCCCAGTGACTGACCAACAAATAACACGTCATTTACCGCATACCGTATGTTTCAGAGCCTATACTCACGGGGCGGTCAGTGTCCATGGCGCCGCTCAGTGACTGACCAACTAATAACACGTCATTTACCGCATACCGTTTGTTTCAGAGCCTATACTCACGGCGGTCAGTGTCCATTGCGCCGCTCAGTGACTGACCAACTAATAACACGTCATTTACCGTATACCGTTTGTTTCAGAGCCTATACTCACGGCGGTCAGTGTCCATGGCGCCGCTCAGTGACTGACCAACAAATAACACGTCATTTACCACATACCGTTTGTTTCAGCGGCTATACTCACGGGGCGGTCACTGTCCATGGCGCCGCTCAGTGACTGACCAACAAATAACACGTCATTTACCGCATACCGTATGTTTCAGAGCCTATACTCACGGGGCGGTCAGTGTCCATGGCGCCGCTCAGTGACTGACCAACTAATAACACGTCATTTACCGCATACCGTTTGTTTCAGAGCCTATGCTCACGGCGGTCAGTGTCCATTGCGCCGCTCAGTGACTGACCAACTAATAACACGTCATTTACCGTATACCGTTTGTTTCAGAGCCTATACTCACGGCGGTCAGTGTCCATGGCGCCGCTCAGTGACTGACCAACAAATAACACGTCATTTACCACATACCGTTTGTTTCAGCGGCTATACTCACGGGGCGGTCACTGTCCATGGCGCCGCTCAGAGACTGACCAACAAATAACACGTCATTTATCGTATACCGTTTGTTTCAGAGCCTATACTCACGGCGGTCAGTGTCCATGGCGCCGCTCAGTGACTGACCAACAAATAACACGTCATTTACCACATACCGTTTGTTTCAGCGGCTATACTCACGGGGCGGTCACTGTCCATGGCGCCGCTCAGAGACTGACCAACTAATAACACGTCATTTACCGCATACCGTATGTTTCAGAGCCTATACTCACGGGGCGGTCAGTATCCATGGCGCCGCTCAGAGACTGACCAACTAATAACACGTCATTTACCGCATACCGTTTGTTTCAGAGCCTATACTCACGGCGGTCAGTGTCCATTGCGCCGCTCAGTGACTGACCAACTAATAACACGTCATTTACCGCATACCGTTTGTTTCAGAGCCTATACTCACGGCGGTCAGTGTCCATTGCGCCGCTCAGTGACTGACCAACTAATAACACGTCATTTACCGCATACCGTTTGTTTCAGAGCCTATACTCACGGGGCGGTCAGTGTCCATGGCGCCGCTCAGTGACTGACCAACTAATAACACGTCATTTACCGCATACCGTATGTTTCAGAGCCTATACTCACGGGGCGGTCAGTGTCCATGGCGCCGCTCAGCTGGCCGTGCCGCCGGCGGCTGAGGCGCCGCTCCAGATCCTTCCTCTCCTGGCGGTGTCGGCTCTCCTGCTCCTCCAGCTCCTGGCGGTGCCGTTCACTGAGCTGGAGCTGCTGTCGGCGGTGTCTTTCGCTCGCCTCGAACAGCCTCTGACTGAGACGCCGATCTTGCCGCTCCTCGTCAGATTCTGCAGCAGATCAGGGCCAATACAATTCACGTCGTTGAACAAGCTGGCTAGAGAGGGACAGGGAGACTATGAGTTCTTGGACTGATGGCATGGCAGATAAAAAAAAATCGTAGCGAACAGAGTCAGAGACATCCCTTAGGGCAAAGGGACAGAGAAAAAAAGAGGGACAAAGACGATTCTGATACAGATCAAACGTATGTAGAAATATTTAAAGATAAATACCTTAGGCTCTCGTAAAGATAAAATGTGTATTTATTTTGTAAATGTAGAAAATGAGGACTCAGTACATAAGAAAAATTAGCTCAATTCGGCCAGCTTTCGAAAAGTATTTACAAAACGTTGTGAGGGTGTCTCAATAAGGTTCGGGTCAAACAAATCACCAGTTTTCTTTCCCACGTAAATAGCGTGGGTGCTCAGAAACATTTTGACGTCTGATTGTTTCAATGTAAATTCGTCCACCATCTGAGTTCTAAGCCTGCCGCTCACCATCCTCGTTGGGGTGTCTCTGTTCCAGCTCTCGTGGCTCTCTCTGGCGTCTCTGTTCCAGCTCTCGTGACTCTCTCTGGTGTCTCTGTTCCAGCTCTCGACACTGCTGCTGCAGGGTCTGTAGGAGTTCTTCCCACTGCTTCTGGTGGGAGCGATCCAACTGCCTTAACTGGTCCTCAGTCGGCATGTTGATGCATCTGGTGTCTTCCCCGTGCTGCTGATGAAGCTCAATGCGCTCCTCATAGTGACGTTCGTCCAGCTCCTGCCACTCCTTGCCGTGCTCCTGCTCCTGCTGCCGACGCTCCTCTGCGTGTTTCTTGTTCAGATCGCTGCGACTGTGTGCGGCCCCTCGCGGTTCCAGCTCCTGACATCGACCTTGGTTTGGGCGAGGAGGACCATCTGATGGCCGCTCCTCCTCATCGCAGTGCTGCTCCTCGTCTTCGATCTCTCCGTCGCGGTCACCATGCGACGAGTCTGGAACACAGCAGGTCAGGCAGAAGTCATATGCTGGGAGGACGGTCGATAGGCGACCAAATCGAAAGAAAACTGGATCACTATTCACAGTACAAGGTAAAAGACCTTGTGTTATGGCATGCCATTTATCAGCATGGGCAACAGAGCTGCAAAATCTAGTTACTTCGCTCAACATTTTTTTATGCATCTATTTTTACGATTTGTTACGATTTGTTCAAAAAATGATTTTTTTTATTTTTACGATTTATTCAAATAATGAACACTGCATCGTGCATCACGGTGATAATGTAACAAATAAGACACTGACTCGCGGTACTGTACAGTCTGTCTTAAAAGTACCGCGCAAAGTGACGGTGGATCCATCAAGCCTGACCGAGGAAGGGCCTGCTATAATTTGAAAGTCACCGAACCAATGGAGCTGGGGAATGGACGAGGATGTCCATTGCTTCGGTGACTCAAATTTGGCAGTCCTTCATCGGTCAGGCTTGATGGATCCACCGTCACTTTGCGCGGTACTTTTAAGACAGACTGTACATGACTAAAACTGTTCAGTATCAGCGTCATTACTATCGCCATCTAGCCCATGATGTTTGATAAGAACACAGGACGGCAGTCGGTGGACAGGGTACCTACTTAGAGTGGTCGGGGTTAGTTTTTTTTTAACCCGCGCGGGGCTGGGGTCTCCAGCCGAACGCGCGGGGCTGGGGGGGAAGGTAAATTTTACCCCCCCCCCCCTGTTATCTCCCGAACTAATGGTCCGATTTGGAAAATTCAAACGCCAATCGAAAGATCTCATCACGAACAACTAAAAACATGTACTTGATTTTAAGTTTGAGGTCAAGGTCAAGGTCAAGGTCAGGTCAAGGGTACAAATTGCAAGTTCCTACAGTATCGGCCTTGCACCGTAGTTGCCGAAGAATGGAGACATGGACTGAGACTGATCGCCCAAAACGTGTTCTTAGGCTACCAAGACAATATTCGTTGCATACAATATCATTCAGAGGTCAAGGTCAAGGTCAGGTCAGGTCAGGTCAGGTCACCAAAAACAAAATATAGAAAAGGGCATGTGCGACACATGTTTTATGGGTCATTTTACTCATAGAATTCAATAGGCACACTCAATAAGTGATATGGACCACCTCTGGATGAATTTCAGGTCGAGGTCAGGTCAAGGTCAGGTCAAGTGAGGTCAAATTTTGAAGTTGGTTGTTAAGGCCTAAAAAGGTGTCTATCTGATGCAGTTTTTCACGGCGAATCGAATGGTGCTATTTTTGTTTCCGTACAAGGTCTAGAACTTCCAAAAAACGTCATTTTTCAAAATTTTTGTTTGTCGTGACGTCATACAATTTTGAATAACTCCCACATTTTTGAACCGATTCTTCTAAAACTTGGTATGTAGGTGCACATAGACCACTTCTCTGACATATTCCGGTTTTTTCGATAAACTCAAAATTTTGGATTTTATAGCTATTTTCCCAAAAAAGTCAGTTTTTTGAAAAAATTTGGGCCAAAATCCAAAATTTTCAAAAAACCGAGATAGCCATTTGATAGACAAAGTAAAATTACGTATATCCTTTTTTGTTACGTCTTGATTCCTTTAAAAATGAAGATGTTAGCGGCGTTTGAACTTTTGCCGTTTTTGAGGCGAAAATGGCGAACATGACGTCACTAAAACGTCAATTTCTCAACAATTTTCCGACAGATTTCGCTAAAATTTTCAGGGAACGTGTCAAATTGATGTAAGAAAAGGTACTGAAAGTTTGGAGGGGGTAAAATTTACCCCCCCAGCCCCGCGCGGGTTAACCCTCGCCCACGCATGCCATTTTTCCACCGTAGAGCGCACATGGGGGAGGGGGTGCTATACCCCCGCGCCATTTCGTTCCTGCTAGAGATAGAGCTTCGCGGTAAAAACCAACAGAATCTTTTGGAAGAGACAAATCCAATGGTATCCAATTTTACCCCAATGTGCAGTCATTGACCTTCCAGGTCAGGTCAAACTAAAAAATGTTGCTGTATGGGGTCACCGTTGGAATATCACGTGCAGTGCCCATCATATACCGATGACGCTGCAGTATTGGTGCCAAGCCAGCTAGAACAGCTCTTTGTTACACTATCCGACTAAGTTTTTACTGACTGGGGTCTTAGGTCAGGTTAGGTCAAGGTCAATGATATGTGTTTGTATTTCTGTGTTTGTGTCTGTGTATAGTGATGTGTGCACCGATTGGTTTGTGTGTCCCTGTTACATGAGATCATGAATTGAGAAGCTTTTACCAAAAATGCAGTCAAAGAAACTTAACGAAAAGTAAATTCAGCTTGCCTAAAACGCAATTATCTTAGATGACCTAGGATGACCTTGAACCTGACCCTGACATCTTTACATCGTTTCATTGACCTTTGGTGACCTCGGTTCACTTAGCAATGAAATTTTACATATTTCAAGGCCAGTTTTTTTTAGGTGAATTTGAATTTAGCAACCATATGAAGATTTACGAAGTAGTTTTGGTGCCTTCGTTACATGTTATGAAGCTGTCAGAGGCGGTTGACACCTACAACGAATACCCGGCAGAACCCCTACTGATTGACCTGACCTGACCTGACCTGACCTGACCTGACCCGACCAGGCCTAAATGCATGAAGACATTATCTTTGATTAAAAACTAACAGGATATTCGTGATCAGCACCCCGAATAACCCAGAGTAGCCACATTTTACGACGTTCTAACAGGTCCCGATTTTCCCGACTTTTGGGTCATTGACCTGACCTGGAAGGTCAAACAATGACCTAGGACCTTTAAGTTGGGTATGATCGGCTTCCTCTCGTCACATGCAATACGCTCGTTTTTCCGCGAAGCTCTAGCTTGATCAGGGGCGAAACGGCAAGGGTTGGGTCCAACGGACCTCCCCCCTTTTCGCGGCTGGAAAAACACCAATACGGGCGAGGGTTAAACGGTGAATGAAATTTGGTCACAAGGTAGTTCTCCGCTGGGGCTACGACCTACAGGGCCGTCATGTCATTGGAGAGCACTACCATGCTCCGCTTTGCGAGTAGTCAGGGCACTTTTAATGAGTGATATCGACTGATGTCAGCCAGCACTCTTTGCTACTTACTTTCTGTGATCGCGTCTGGTGTATGTGTATGTATGCTGGGAGGGGATTGTATGTGTGTAGGGGGACGGCAGTGCGGGTTGAATGCCTGAGGGGGTGGGATGGGAAATTAGATTTTATTGCGACTGCAGCCTTAACCCTCGCGGGCCCGGGGGGGGGCGTTTTTCGCCCCCCCCCCCTGGCGAATATTTGCGATAGCTCCCGAACGCTAAGGGATAGGAAAGCGAAACTTTCAGTACCTTTTGTCCCATCAATTTGACATCTTCTGAAATAAAAAATTTGGACCTAGCCCCCTTGATGACGTCACATCGTCCATTTTTCTAGACCCCTGCACGGCAAACTTCGGCGTCACAGACGCAAACTTCAAATAGCTGCTAAAAATAGAGTTTTAGAGATAAAGACAAATTACGAGTACGGTTGTGTAGCGTTTGACCTAGATAAAAATAGAAAAATATTTTTGGTGACCTGAGGTCAGAGGCCAGGTCAACGACCCCGAATGTGGTTTTAGTTTTTCGCAAATAACTTCGACAAAAATGGTCCTAGAGCTACGGCAGTGGTACCATCGCATTCACCTTGTCAAGCCGCGTCGAATGACATATATTTTGTTCGGAAAAGGTCAAGTTTTATGTTGACCTCATGTGACCTCGAATGCCCTCTGGTTGACCTTGACGCATGAAAGGTCGTTTATGATGGATTTGTACCCGCTGATCACGAATCTAGCATCTATTTTCCTCTAAGCCTTCATTTAGAGCTTCCGGATGGCAAAATTGTCTTATTTATTATTACTAACTTGAATTAGTAAAAAAAGCCTCTAGCAGGGATACTCTTCAGTGACCTTGACCTTTGAGCAGCCTTGTATCGTAAGAGGAACCACAAATAGGGAACTGATAAGCCTCAAAACATTTTAAAACATCTTGAAAGTTAGCATGCAAGATGTGCGAAAAAGTGCCAAGTTTGAGGTCAATTTTGAGCGTGACCTTGACCTTGACCTTTAATTTTGAGCACATTTTCGGAATCCTCTCCGATGGCATTGTCTCAGATTCTCTTCTTTCGTTTGACACCCAATTTTGCTGGTTTGATGCCGCCTGCCGTCCTCTAGAAGGCTTACTTTGAGATCACAAAAACGCCCCCCCCCCGGGCTGCGATGGTTGGGATTACCCCCCGGGCCCGGCCGGGTTAATGTGGGCCTCGGCCTGTGGTTGTTCTGAAATAAATAAACAAATAAACAAATAAGCTATCGAATGTCGTTTGAAATTCGAAAATCGGTCGGTAACTTTCCGAGATCTTTGGGAGGGGGTGTGGGGCACGGGTGGCAGGGTCGGTTGACGGCCATACGGGGGGCGGGTTAACCCCACTCAAGCTCACCATATAACAAAAAACAGGCATTTTTGTGGGTGGATAGTGAATCAACGAAAAGGGAAGTCCCCCCCCCCCCCCCAGGCCAATGCGACATGCGAACTGTGAACTGTGCATCCTTCACAATCTTGGATCCCGGTATGGCGAGAAACTCGGCCAATTGGAATGCCCAGATTGGTTGTCATGGCAACGGTTGCCTGGCAACGGCTTGTATCGGGGAGCGGAGGGAGGGAGCGGATGGAAATGCCGGCGAAAACGGATTCTTGTGTGTTCATGTGGCATCAGCTCTAAATAGGTATCAGAAGATGTGAACGTGATTGAGAGCGAAGATCAGAAAGACGGCCTTCAGGAATTTGGGACACAACTCGGTCACGATACCTACGACATACGTAAACAGTTAAGTAAATACTCGAAAATATTATATAGCTTCATTCATCCCTAGTAATAATAATAAATTTGGTATAGGTGTAAGTTTCATGGAATATGAGTGACACAATTGTTCTTATCTTAATGTTTTATTGCATTTTCTGTTATTTTTTTATTTTTCGCCTTAGATTCTGTTGCCATAGTGACCGCTTGTGCAAGTAGGTACTTTTTGTTACAAAAAAGCAAGACTTATATTTCGTCATGAAAGAGGGTAAGCTATCTACATAGGCGTGGAAACCCGCGCAGTGTGGGGGGGGGGGCAGTGGGGCAGCTTGCCCCCACAGTTCTGGGGGCGTGGGGGCGGTGCCGCGGTGCCCCCACAACTTTGAGACGGAATATCGCACTTTGTATGCAAATGTGTTCTTTTTTTGTTGAAAGGGTCAAGGGATGAGAAATAAGAAGCCAAAAAACGATGAGAAAACTAGATTTCGGGGCACCCTAGGTTGACCTCTATTAACCCGCGCCCCGTTGGGGGGGGGGGGCATTTTGGCCCCCCTGTGATTTTTCCTGAATAGCAAGAAAACGGCGGCGCGCAGTGCCGCTAAATTTTTAGTACCTTCCCGGGCATCAATTTAACACCTTCACACCAAATTTCAAGTCTTAGGTCACCTTAGGTCAGGAGTTATTGAGGTCAAACTGAGGTCATGTT